TGAATTTTTGGCAAAATAGATACAAATGTAAAGACTTAATGAGAGGTCGGGTATTTTTATATCCTCCGCCATTCCATGGAGGGTATAGTAACTCCGTTTGTAACTCCATGAAAAATTTTTAATAGACCTTGCGAAGTATATATATTCTATATCAGCGTAAAATTCTAAGTCGATTTAGCTATGTCCGACTATCTGTCTGTTGTAATAGGTTAATAGGCATGTTAAGTTCGTAAATGGGCCATGTCGGTCCACATTTTCGTATAGCCCCCACATAACGGTAGCTCCCGATATTTATCGGAATTATTTCAAATTTCGTATATGAAGTTCGTCATGGGTACTGCAGCCTATGACAAACATTTTTTTATGCAGGTTCACGTCTTCGTATATCCCCCATGTAAGGGTAGCTCCTGATATTCGGTATTTTGGTGATTTCAGCAACATTATTTACCGGAATTATTTTAAATTTCGTACTTGAAGTTCGTAATGGGTTCTATAGCCTATGACAAAAATTTGTGTATGTAGATCCACGTCTTCGTATAGCCCCCATATGACGGTAGGTCCCAATACTCGGTATTTTGATAATTTTAGAGATATTATTAGCAGGAATTGTTTCAAATTTTTTTATTTGAAGTTCGTAATGGGTACTACTGCCTATGGCAAACAATTTTGTAAGCAGGTCCATGTCTTCGTATAGTCTCCATATAACAGTTTTCATTTAAGTAGTAGTTTCCAGAAGTATTTCTTTGAAAATTTTCAAGTTCCTTCCAAATGGTGGAGGCTATTATAAGTTCGGCCCGACCGAACTTTGCTGCTTTTTTACTTCTTTTAATATAGTTTCTATATGCATATGTTTAAAGGTTTATTTCGTCTCAAAACGAATACATTTCTACAGTTATAATTTGTAATAACTTCTTCAAACAGTGGGCAAGGTTGCTAAGAGGGGAGAAAACGATAGCCACCTGTCTTGCTGGACATACACTTACGCCAGTATAGGCCTGTTATGCGCTCTAGACTAAGATGTTTTTGAAAGAAGATCGGCAGTTGATAGTCTATTATATTTGAAATTCCCTTGCCCTTACAAAATTCCTTAACTGTTTTATTTTATTTGCCATGATCTGATTTCGGTCTGGTAATAATTTAGGCTGTTATTTGCCCAACCTATCTTGTGCAGATGAGTTTGTAGGCCCAGGTGACCCGTAAGAATCCCTGTTACCCCACTCTTTCTGGATTTTCCTACGCCTTTATTGTTTCATAGGCATATATGGACGTTTCCTCCACCCGTTTTTTACTCTAGACGTGACGCATTTAGCTCTATTGGATTGTCCAAGTTTACTGTTGCTTAACCCCTGCCTCCAGGTTTTACACAAAAAATTGTCTTAAATCAGAGTTGTATTTTTAGTAACTGACTGTAGATCTGGCGCTTATGACTTACGAACAAATGACAAATATAGGAGCGGAAAAAGTTAAATATTTATAAACTTTTTATTGATAATTTTACAATGTCTATGTCAATTAAGAAAAGCAGCAAAGGAACGTCACATTATTTGAGCATGAAAAACAATAGAGGTAGACTCATTTGCTAAAAGGTATTTCGTTAGCCTTCTCTGACGTACTCAACATTGTCGTTTTTCATATTAAAATGTATAAATGTAATATATATATATATTTTTTTTTTTTTTTTTGTGCAGAATCCATACATCAGGTATTGTGAAGATTTTTGGCAACATTTATCATCTGGTTATTTGGAATTTGATTCTTTAAGACTGATCTAAAGAGTATATAAATTTCGTCTTCCTATCAATAGAATCAAATTCCAAATAACCAGATGATAAATGTTGCACAAAATCTTCACAAAACTTGATGTATGGATTCTGTACAAAAAGAAAAACTTGCTCTGAAACTTTTTTGCAATTACATTAAGGCAAATTCGTCAATATTCTACCAGAATTATAGCAAAACAAACCGCGATACTGTTGATCTTTTTATATATTTTTTTCTCTCCTAGCAGCGCCAAAATTCAACCATTCCAAAAGCAAGACTTATATTGCTTATGAGTAAGTATTTTAGTTTTCTGTTTTGGATTCTATTCTTCCCTGACTTTAATATCCTCTAATAAGCGTGAAAATCATAGAATATTTGGTCGGAAATAAGTGTACAATTCTTGCCAGCTGTACGGCTATATTTAAGGTATAATATATAATTGTAATCGTATGATTACATGAGATCACCTCGGTAATCAAACCATGAAATGAACGTGGCTTTTATAAAAAAAGAAAAACTATTGAATTGAGCCTTAATATTGAATTGGTTTATATTTACAGCCGGTAGCACGATATCGAAAAAAAATTTGAGCGAAGGAAAGCTAGTCACTCACTTTCCTATCAGAATGCGCTCCACTAATATTCGTTCTTTCTTTCGCATAGCCTTACGTGATGCAGTGTTGCTAAATATACCTTTTAAAAATTAATCGCGAATTTAAGCAAAAAAGCGCCAGAATGACTGATTTGAACGCGAAAAAGCTATAAAAAAAATACAACCATACGTAAGCTGGCTCTGCCTAAACTGACAGTTCGGTTGTAAACGAACAATTCCCAATGATCTTGTTCGAATTACTTTTGTTCTTAAAAAATAAAAAAAATGAATATTTCTGAAGCCCTATACTTTATGGATGGAGGTTTCGAATTTGTTTGAAGTACCTAACAACCAGTAAGTATGATTGCTTTTTTACATTTTTGAAATAATAAAAAATGTATTTTCCTAGTTTTGTGGCCAATTTTCGTGTGTCGAAGGAAGTTTTTCCAGCTCTATGCTAGAAGTTAAATGAGCAATATTTATATTGAAAAATTCCTGAATTTTAGTCATACGACAGCAAACACACAAGTGACTGATTTTGACATTTGTGTTCGAATGCATGCTATGAAAATCTTCACTAATGTGTTCAGATTTATTCAAAACTTAAAACAGTTTTTAAGTTTCATTTTTTTGTTTGTGTTCAATAATTTATGCGTACTGGTGCAGGTGCATGTAAGCCACGAACACACATTTCAATAAAGTTTACAATATTCAACGTTATATTTAGAACTTTGTTTAACGAAAGTTTTGTTTATATAATTTTTAATTTATTTTTGATTTTGACACATAAACTGAGGTTGTGGTTTTAAGTGTGCCGTTTACAAAGTCATTTCCTTTATATACTAAATTTTAATAGAAGTATAAATTTGACTCGTAAAATAACAGATGAAAGGAAGACCAGTGCAAAGACACATTGCAATACCATTTTGGGGGATCACTAGCATACGACTAAATTTTCCACGCAAAAAAAGTTCCAAGAGGTAACCATTTCAAGGCCGGCCGATGATTATTGGGTTAACCATGGTAATTGACTAAAATCAATGCTATTTATTTGTCGGATAATCAAATCGTAAAAGGTAAAGAAACAAAATGTAAACAAATTTAGACATTTAATCTGATTTTCAAAATTTGTCGGAACACATTGTAATTTAGTCATGGACGATCCAAGTAATGATTTTTATGAAACCCTGGGTAGTTGATTACATCAGATATAGTTTGTGCCTGTTAACATCAATTGAACTGGCACTAAACTTGCCATGAGTCTTATTTCAAGTTTAACCAAATTTAAACAAGTATTGTTTGCTGTTTCAAATAAACTTCGTGATTTTGATCATGAATCTCTGATTATGTCAATGGGCGTTTTTAATTGCCGTTAGAGTTGTAAAATATTGTTTATTACACTCTTCTGACTGAACTGGTTCCGGAATCTAGTTCACTCTCTACTACAATCATTCGGATCAGAATCGTTCTCCGAGCCTGAATCGTTAACTTTCTGTTTATATCACGAAAGAAAAATGCCGGTAGATGCTTAAGAACATTGATATGTCAATTTTTTTAATGATTTTTTAAAAAGGTATATTTTTTGTTATGGTAAGCATTTTCAAGAATTATTACAAATTTAAACAATTTTTTATTTAAAATTTTCAATTTCAAAATTGGTTTTACACTATGCGACTACCTGTATTCTTCTACCATGGTTTATATAACGTACACATGCCATAAAATAGATGACAATTCCTGCGGCGTCACAAAGCACAGGGAACGGCGTAAAAGTGAATGAATTGCTTGCTATGAATAGCAAGGCCCATTTATTAGGTCGTGTAAAGGGCGAATTGCCTTAAAATCAGCTGGTTTACTTCTTCGAACTGTCAAAATTTCTTCTGAAGTGAAGTGAATTTTGACAGTGCTTTCACCGAGTGTTTGCAAATTCTTACTGAACAAATTTCTTCTTGCAATCATTTGCTATTTTTCTTCTTCTCCTTCCGGTGATTTATATTTGGGTAAGCACATTTAAAACATATACATTTTAACAATGACAAGTCTAAAGATAAGAGTACATAAAATGATTTTTTGACTGGCTTAAGTAATCGGCTAATTTCTTCGAAGAGAAAAAAAGGCGTTTTAGGTTGATTTAGTTCGATATTGGCCCGATGTTCCTTTGTTCTTTTCCGAAGAAGCCAACCGATGAAAAAAGCCTTTTATGTATTCTCACCTTATTTTTTTAGGTTTACGGCTGTGTGTACTTCATTTCATTTTTCCTAGCAAAATATACTAAACTCTGAGTAAGAAACTGCAGGACAATTACTGCAGGAAAATAACCAGACAGTTTTTTGACTGGCTTGAGTGATCGGCTGGCTTCTTCGTAGAGGAACAAAGAAGTTATAGGTTGACTTAGTTTGATTTTGGCCCTTTATTCTTTTCCGAAGAAGCCAGCCACTAACTAAAGCGAGTCAAAAAACATTTTATGTATTCTCACCTTTAAAGTAATTAAAAATATGCAAAGATAATCTTGACACTTTTTTTCAAATCGATTAAAATTTATAATTTTGTTAAATACCCCCAAGTCCAAAAATCAAATTTTGATGTTAGTTTTTTTATATTTGTATGTCTCAATATTAAATAAATGAAAAAAACAAAAAACCACTTACCATCAGCATTTTGTTCTTCGACAGATAATTTACGATCAACTGGACTCGATTTGCCGGATGCACTTGAACCTCCTGCTTTATCGTCTGTTGAACTGGTCGATACATTATCCTTGGCACTCTTGTCGGGAACCAACAGCTGTTGACCCGGATAGATGAACGAACTGTTTAAACGATTCAAATGTGTCAACTCCGATGGGGTCGTATCGAAACGGGCTGCAACCGATGTCAAGGTGTCACGATTGCCCACCGTATAGTTGATGGTGGGTATAGTGGGTAGTGAAGATTTTTTGCGTTCATCTGAAAGATAAAAGAGAAACAGAAAACGTGAAGAACGTTATGGACTTAAGTAAACAATGTATGTTGCGACTGCTTGTGTCATTACTTGTCACTTCAATGGTTGTTAGCAGAGATTGCTCGAATATCACAAAATCCTGTAGTAAGTCCTGCCATTGATCAGAATTTTCCTGGGGAAATTCTGGTGTCAAATATACAACAATATAGTCGTAGTCATTTCCCGCGTCCAAAGGATTTGGATTATTCACAAAACGGCGATAAATTTGAATGGATTCCATTGCAAGGAATGTATTATTTGTTCAGTCTTCCATTTATTACTATTTTAATTGCTTGCCTTTTTAGAAAAAGAGCGTGGTTATTTTTTTTGCTGATGTTTTTATTTCTTTGCGATCTGAATCGTAAATTTAACCGGCAAAACTCCCGAACAATTATGTTGGATCTCACATTTAAAACACTTGCAGAGGCACTTAATTTTGTACTCAATCTCTCTTATATTTTGTTGGACACTAACAAAAAAAAAAGCGAGCCTCTTTAACGTCTAATGTTTGAGGCCGTTTCGTACAAAGAGACTTGTAACGACAAGAGGTGCCACGTACTTTCACACACACACAAAAGAGAAGAGCACTTAGTGCGGAAAATTAAAATTAAAAACACCGGACAGAGAAGAAAGTACAAAATTAAAATAATTTGTATTTGAGGGAGAGTGTGAGTGTTTAAAGGAGAGCTATCTTGAAATTAAAAATAAACTGAAATTTAAAAAGGTTAACAAATAATTTCGCATTATTTCGAAGCACGTACTCGCAAAATATTGCAATTTGAGTTGTTCAGTATTCTTAAAGATAAAATCACTGTTTATTGTTGAAATGTTTATATATGTTTGACATATTTCACATCAACGGAATTTTAACGTCAGGTTTTAAAACAAGATCTTCATCATTAACTGAATTCGCATTAGACAGTTGTATGATTTATATGCAGTTGAATTCATTTATAAATAGAATTACATTGATTAGTTTAGCTCCGAATCAAAAGTCAATTTTTCATAATCGATTTTGAGATCACAGATTTTTTAATAAACTTTTAAATTAAATTTATATTTTCGGACAGCAGGTGAGTTAAGACCTAAACCTGAGAATACTTAAAATGCCTTGTTTTCTGGCTTAAGTTACTGACTTGACTTCTTCGTAGATGAACAAAGGAGTTTAGGTTGACTTAATTCGATTTTGGCCCTAGGCTGCTTTGTTCGCTTCCGAAGAAGCCAGCCGAAGACTTAAGCCAGTGAAAAAAAAGGTTTTATGTATTCTCACATTAAGTCTTCTCTTGCTGTCAAAAGTTGTAAGAAATCAATATAAAAGCGAAAACTTCCCAAAAAATTTACATTTCAAAACTGGTACAACTACAAAGCTAATATCATGCAATCATAGGATTAAATTTTTTTATTTGATGTCCCTTCTTTGTAATATTTATATTTTGTAGTTCTTCCTTAGATATGGGCGTAAAACTAGCATCAAGAATGCCATTAATTTTATTATGGCATAGTTGAATTTTGTTTCTAAGTATCATTTTGCTGCAGCTAGGACAAGTATGAAGATCAACATTGTCGTGCCTTGTTTTGCTATAATTCACATTTTCAGCCGAATTGACATTCAATTCATTACAGGAAATTTTCAGTGTTTCTTTTCGTTTTATTGCAGATTTGACGATTTTGGCAACATTTTTCAACTAACGTGGAAGTTTGACCCTTAAATATTGACTTAAAATAAAACATCGTTGGAGGACTAAGCAAGAACTAACAGTAGTGAAAAAGTATCATTTAGATAAAATGGTTAAAATCTCTATTTGTATATATTTGAGGCCAAGAAACGGTTATTAAATTTATATAAAAAAATGGAACATATAACCGTTCCAAAAAACGACGAAAATAATAGATTAGTTATTATTTCTGTAAAATATGCCACTCGTCATACGTAAATATTTTAGATATAATTTCATTTGAAAAATGAAAAGGTCGAGTTCGTGTCTTTCTTTTTCAAAACAATAAACACCATGGTAGAAGAATACAGGTAGATGCAATAACACTTGGAAATATTGATATGTCAACAGCTTCGCAATACTACTAAAACACAGCCCTAAGGCTATGCCCGCTTTCTGTCACTATTATTCAAAATTAGATGCAACGATGTATTCTCAAAAACAAAGAAAATGTCAAATAAAACATTTTTCCTTATTTAAACATATTTCGATGTTTAAAAGGCGAAAGATAAACGGAAAACCCGGAATTTCTCTCAAAAAAGGATCCAAAATGTTCCTCAATTCCAGCACGAAAAAATCATCTACTACAGAGCTGCGGGTACTAATTGATTATATGGAAAATAATCCTGGGTTCGCCAGAGAAATGCTAGTATTTGATAGCAGCAGTCTCCTCCACATCATCCATAAAATATAGGACAACAGAAATAATCATTTTTTTTTATTTTTTGAATAAATAAATAAATTGAACACATTCACTGGGAAACTCGGAATTTTATTTTGTTTATTTATTTACGATTTGTTTTGTTTGTTTACAACTGAGCTGTCAGAGCCAGCTGACGTATGGGTCATAAATCTGTCATTTTGGCGCTGTTTTGTTTGATTTAGCGATTAATTTTTCCAAAGGTTTATTTAACATCACTAAATCACGTAAGCCTATGCGAAAGAACGAAAGAATGTTTGTGTAATGCATTCTGATACGAAAGTGAGTGACTAGCTATCTTTAGCACAAATTTTTTTTCGATATCGTGCAATCGGCTGTTAAATTAGTCGCCTGCTTTTCACTTAAATCACAACATAGACCACACCGATCAGTGATCTCTGCGTAGGTGTAACATTTCGCACATCTGGTACACAACAGAGTCAATAAAAACAACTGAGCAAAGACACCACTTTCCGGTACAAATCTCTTCGAACGCAATTGATTTATGAAACTACAACACAGTCGTGATCCGCGACCAATGACTAATTCACAATACCGATCATTTTAAACAAAATGTAAACAAAACGCGACACAGTCACAACAACATTGTAAACGAACGAACGAACGAAAGAGCGCATTCAAACTGATTAAATGTCGATTTTTTTACTGAGCTACTGCCACATGCGGTCCCGCAACAAAACGGCTCTCATGACATCTCTCAGAGTTTAAAAAGTTGGACATTTGCTCTTTATTTTTGTTTAATAATATTTTGTTTTAGTTTTTTGCTGACTCTTGATGTCTGGCTGTGGGATATTTGATTCTCAAAATTGTAAAAATTCTACGGACACCGCAAAATGCAGAAGTTGCCATAATTTGAATATTCGATTTCGTTTGAAGTGTAAACAAAGTGTTTTTTGTTTTGTTTTTCAAATTAACTGCTTTAGACTGCCGCCACATAAACACTGCATTCTCGGAAGAAGGAGTGATTGATCATAGATTGATTTGTTGTTATCATTAATGTGTTTGTCTCGCGATAAGATAATTTCTGATTATTTTTGGTTATTATAGCATATTTACACAGCGCAAATTGCCTAATTAACCGTTAAGAGTTAGTTACTTCCTTTCACATATATACACACATATTTGGGAATCTTAGAGATGCAAACCCTAATTTCTAAATATAACAAAAAAAAACACACATTATTCTCAACAAGTGAAGTCCAACAACTTCGAAGAAAATTACATAATCAGCAACCGATGTTCAGATGTAGCTGCGTGTATTCGACTTTGTTTTATTTTATTGGGTTGTAAAAAATTAGTGATAACAATTATCGCTGAACAACGGTAGCATTTAACATCAAACTACGAAAGTTGGGAAAAAAATCATTGGCCGACATTGGTTAAGTGCAAGGGCAATTATTAGCTGTGTTCCAGTACTAGTTTTTATTTCAAAGAATAAAAGGGCAATCTATCAAAAACATTGTCAAACTATAAACATAAACAATATTTCAGAATGAAACGTTAAATTGAAAACTTTATATTGAAAATATTTTTGTTTATGTTTTGTACGTAATACTGGTGTGAGAGTCATTTTTTCAAAAAAAATGCAAATAAAATTCTTAAGAATAGTTTTTATTATTGCTAGAAAATTGTCAAAAAATCAAGATCCCTTACGAATTGACACCAAAATACACATATACATAAGGTATACTTTATTTTGATATTATGGATGACAAAAAACATACAAATATACTACCCAGTGCGGGTCTCTGTTTCCATGGATCAATAAGAATGGTTGCTCAGCTTCAAAGAAACTAGATAAATACAGTGTCAAATATACTCTTAAATGTGCAACAGTTGATTTTGTTTATTTTTAATTTTTTTAACAAAATTCTTATATTGGGAAAACCCGCGAAACGAGAATGACATTTTGGAGTTATTCCACAAGATTGAAACTAAAGTAGTAGGACTATGGTAGAAGAATATAGACGCATCGACACAGCTGCTTGGACAATGAACTGTCAAACCAATTTTAGAATTGAAAATGTTGAATGAAAAATTATTTTAATTCGTTAAAATTGTTGAAAAACGCGAATTATAAAAACATCCGAATGACGTCGTATAAGAAAACACATAAGAATATACTTATATTTGAAGAAAAACATTTAATTTTTCAGACAAATAAATGTTCCCAAGCTTTGATGCATCTACCTGTATTCTGCCATGTTCTATTCCATGACACAAGTATACGCACCATGGCCAAACAATAGAGGTAAACTCACTTATTAAATCGAATATGGCAACCCTCATCCAACGAACTCGACTCGAAAACAAAACAAAAAAATGATTTTCATATCTAAAATATTTATGTATGACGAGTGGCATATTTTACAAAAATAATAAATAATCTATAATTTTCGGCGTACCTTGGCGCGTAAAAAATTTATATGTTCCATATTTTAGGAAGAGGAATTTTACTAATATTTTCTAGGGCTTAAACATATAAAAATTTAAGTTTTAAAACCTTAACCTTAATGAAATGTTCTCGATGCTGTTAATTTTTGTAAAGTCCTCGAATAAGGATTTATTTTGAGACAGTCTTAACGGATTAAAATCTGAGAATAACCGGCTGAAAATGTTGCAAAAATCTTCACAGTACCTGCTATATGTATTCTGTACTAAAAGGAAAACTTTCTTGTAATGAATTTAATGTCAATTCGGGTGAAAATCCTGGATGACAATCTTCTACTCATCTAAAAACGTGTGATATTATCAATATTCATACTTGACCCAGCTGCAGCATAACGATACTCTGAAGCTGAATTAACTCGTAAAGTTAATACCATGGCAAAACAATAGAGGTAAAGTTATTTGCTAAATTGAATATGGCAACCCTCTTCTGACGAACTCGACAATGTCATTTTTCAAATAAAATCTATTCTCATACCTAAAGTATATTCGCATGACGAGTGTCAGATTTTACAAAAATAATAAATAATCTTTTATTTTTGGCGAAAAAACTTTGGACAGCAAAAAAGGATTAAATCACGAATTCACCTCCATTGCGATACTATTAAATTAGCTTTGCTATGACTTACCGTGAATTCATTTTTGTGTATGAGCCGATCCAAAGTAATGTTTAAACTTTGATCACTCAATTCGTAAACGTTCCCCCTAATACATATACATATTTATACGAAGTGAATGTGTGTATGATTTGTTTTGCATTCTTGGTTGAGTGTGTCTTTAATTTAATATATGCGCCTTAAAGTATGCAGCATTTCAGCAATTAAAATAAACTACGCCACATACATTAACCCTTAGTTCCACAAAAACGTTATCTACGTTACAAAGTATGAATCTATGACAACAGCAGGTTTTTCTACCTTCTCCATCAATTAGAGGACTGCATTTTGTAAAGTATAACGGCATTTTTATAATCAAAGAAAATTTCCCCACATTGCGCTGAAGTAAAGTTTTATACTAAAAAAATATACAGGGTGAGATGAAAAAACTGCAACCAACTTCAGACTGCTGTCATTTCTAAGCCACTTGTCTGACTACTGTTAAAATTATTCCAGTTACAGCTCATTATATTGTTTACAAGCGTACAAAAGCATTTTGGTGAGAATTTTCCAGATAAAAAGTTATTCGTGATGGAATTCAAGCGGGATTGTGTGATTTCTTTATATTTGGCTGGAAAACCACAAGTGGCTATCGTTAGGGCCCTCCAGCATTTAAGTGTGAATAAATCGTTTGTGTCTCGTACCATCGCTCGTTACCGTGATACTGGTAGCCAAGGATGCCAAGGAAGTGGACGGAAGAAAACAGCAACATCAGCAGAAATGGTTCGAAAAGTAAAGAAGCGACTTGATCGCCGCCGAAAAATGGCTCGTGAGCTGAACATATCGCAATATTCCATTCGGCAAATATTGAAAAATGTGCTCGGACTAAAGCCATTAAAATTCCAAAAAGTGCAAGAACTTACACAGCAACAGAAAGAAAATAGACTCAAAAGAGTTGCTTCGCTTGGTCGAAAGTGGTGAACTGCCGAATTTGGTTTTCTCCGATGAGAAAACATTCGTTGTCTAGCAGCTTGTAAACAAACAAAATGATCGTCTTTAGTTTCCAAAAAGGTCAGCTGAAAATGTACACCTTCGGGTTGGCCACCAGAACTCAAGCGCCGGCCATGGTGATGGTGTGGGCCGCCATAACAGCCGGTGATCGCTCTCCGCTCGTATTAATCGACCGTGACATCAGAATAAATGCCGAATATTATCGCGAAATCATTCTGAAGGGTGCATTAATGCCTTGGGCACGCAAACATTTTAGCCACAGACCTTGAACATTCCAACAGGACCCAGCACCATCGCACTCAGCATGCGCCACCCAAGAATGGTTACAAAATAAGGTTCCTCGCTTTATTTCCAGCGCACAATGGCCACCAAAATCTCCGGATACCAATCCGTTGGACTATTGTGTCTGGAGTATTTTGGAAAGCAAGGTTGGCACTAAAAAATGCCAAAGTGTCGATAACCTCAAACAAGCGCTTCGCCGGGAATGTGCCAAAATACCGCTGAGCAACATTCGGGCAGCGTGTGACGGTTCCATTGGCCGTTTGAAGGCCATAATTCGTGCCAAAGGTGACCAATTCGAAGAAATCTAAACTTATTCTAAAATTTGATGGTATTTCCGACATTCTTTGCTTTCATTTAATAAAATATAATAAGACGTTTGACTTTGTTGCAGTTTTTTTATTTCATCCTGTATTACTGTAACGATATGTCATCTGGACCTTCTAATAATTGTACCATTTGTGATATGTCAATTTAATTTAATAGTGAAATCATACTAGTATACGACAATATTTTTATAAGAAATTCTTAAGGCGAGAGTACATAAGCAGCTGAAACTCTTTGCATGGCACTTTTTGTGAAATATCATGAAGAAATTCCAGAGCCACACTAGAATCCTGCCGTCGTTTCCCCCTATAATATGACATTAATATGCCTAGCCATGATGCCAAGCTGCTTACGTACTTTCACCTTTATTCATATATTTAAATATGCAAAATGGTAAATAACTGTATTGTCAAAACAATTGGATAGTTGGGTACATTTTTTAGGAAATTATAAATTTCTTTAATAAAACAGGATATTTACTATTTCAACATATTTCATATTTTACTATAAAAAACATCATAAGGTGTGGACTCTATTCTCAGTTACATTGATCCTTCCTCCTACATCCAAGCGCAGCAGTTGTATTCCTTTCTAACTGAATATTGCTAAAGTCGAGCCGAAAACAGAATCGAGTTGACAATCGAAGAGGGAGGTTGGACTCTTTTCTCATTTACATCGGTCCTTCAAGCCAGATCTAGAACTGAAACTACATCCAAAAAATAAGGTTGTTCTTTCTCTTCTCATTTTCTACATTGATCCCCCGAGCAGGATCCGATTAAAGAAGAGAGTTGATAATCGAAACGTGGTGTTTCTTCCAGTTTCCTACTAAAATTTCTTTAAACTTTTCTCAACATCCAATGGGAATTTTAAGCAAAACATAATCATATTGTGCTAAATAAATTCCACAATTTTTGATATTCATACCATCTGAGAAATGTAGAAAGAAACAGCAAAAAATTGCTTTAAATTCCCTCAATTCCATAGATATAAACGTTAAAAAAATGCGAAAAATATGAATACATTTCCACATTTCTAGTAAGTGAAACTAGTATCAAAATCTAGAGCTTAAAACTAGCAACAGGGTGACAACTGTCACTTTCCATTAATATGTATACAGTTATACTCACTTGATAATCTGTCAACACTTTCGAAGCGCCCTTCCACTTTTGAACGCAACGAATCTAAATCGAATGGCGCCGCAAGGCCGTGATCAACACTGCGTGATTTACTCCTGAAAAATATAAAAAAAAAAAACACACAAACATCAAGATTAAGGAGAAAGATTATCTTTATTTTATAAAAAATATAAAACAAATAAGTTACAACAACATTATTGATAAAATCTTTTTACAAATTTTCTCAGAGACACAATTAAACATAATTGTCTCGACTCAAGTGGAAATAACCAAATACAGAAAAACGATTCTACTCGGCGAGCGTATTTCATTGACATTTTTATGTAGATTAGATTTAGTGTTCTATTTTTTTTGTGCGACTGCAACATTTTATTGTAGTTTAATTGCTTTTCAAACTCAAAACGATATCAAAGCAACATGTGTTTGTTTACAGAAAAAATATGTCAACACAAAATGTTCGATTGACATAGTTTAGGTTAGGTTTACTTTTGCCAAATATTTCAATGTGAGCCACCTTTATTTAATTGGTTGATCTGTCCCAGCCAATTATACAACACATGTCAATTTGTTAGCAATTACAAATGCGATTTAATTTTTAATAGTTATAGATAATTTTTTTTTATTATTTGTAACAATTTAATAGTTTTCAGGATTTCACGAAAAATTCAGTTTTAATGGCAAAAGTAGCAGAAATGCTAAGTGTCAAAATTGCTCTTAGAGAGCTCGATCAAATACATAAAAAAGCTATACTTACTAAATCTATATATAGCCCCATCATATGATAGAATAAAATATCAATAGGTCCGTATTTTGAAATTACGACAAGTAATTTAAATACACCTACAATTGTGGACCGTAGGTTTCCTGCATCATTAATTTCTCAATAGCTATACAATTAGGCATGATTCATCAAATACAATCAAATATAGGTAATCCTCCAATTCAGAAAATATTACTATTTGGACTATGGCCCAATAATAAGGTCTTCCTTCGAGCAAATTAATCTAAAAACAGTTGTTATTTTTTCAGATGAAATGTCAAAATTCATGCTTGAGGCGTAAATAAATATTTTCGCCTTGACAGAGGAATTTTGTTGCGAATAAGTTTTGACAACTGCATTGGAAAATGTATGTATAATAGCGCTGCTGCATGGTACAAGAATTCAGGTAGATGCATCAACGCTTGGGAACATTGATATGTCAAAAATGTTAATTAATTATTAATAATTTTTTTTTTAATAAGCAGATTTCTATAAGTTTTTTATACGACACCAATGAGAGGTTGTTATGATACCGATTTTTCAACTATTTTTATAAATTTGAATTATTTTCCATCAAAAATTTTCAATTTCAAAATTGGTTGCATAGTTCATTGCCCCAGCAGCTGTGTTACGACTACCTTTATTCTTCTATCATGCGTCGCTGCGAGAATCTATCAAAAAACGAGTCGAAAGTCGTTTCCATAATAGTAAAAATCTGTAATATTTTTTAAAATACAAATAAAAATAACCCAATATTGCGTTTAAGAAATGGAATAACATAGTGCCATAATCTCTCATCTTAAATTCGATGTATTACTTATGTACTTTAGTGGTATTCTGGGACAGCGATAGGCAATAATCTATATTCGTTTCCAGATTTTACCACATGCTCTATGTTGAAGTGGTTCGAACACACCTGTGAACTGTGTCTTGCAGTTCTGAAACAGACCAATGATGAATAGTTTAATTTTTTCCTTTAGAAATATCAATATTTTTATCTGGTATATTTTGTACAATCATCAGTGTTTGTTACCATAAAGGCTATGGCAGAGTACATGCGTTGAGGATTTTTCTGTGTTAAATATCATCCAAAAAACACAACCGCAAAAATACCGCTTTATCGATACTAAACGTGTCACTGTTGGTTTTTATCGGCAATACTTAACGCGGAACCTGGTTGAAGAATACAGGTACTGCTGTTGGGATAATGAGCTGTCAAAACAATTTTGGAATTGAAAATTTTCAATGAAAAATTATTGAAATTTGTAAAATCTTTTGAAAAATGCATATAATAATAAACTCCGGCTGGCTTCCTATAACAAAGCATATACGAATCTACTTATTATAAAAAAAAATTTTGACACATCAATGTTCCCAAGAGTTGACGCATCTACCGCGCGCATTCTGTTTCACCGTTAAATAATCTAACAAGTTTAGGTTAAAGGACGCGCAGTAGCCTTAAGGCAATCGCTCCACTCGGAGACCTGTTGGTCCATTTTGTTCATCCTAAATTTGATAAAAGAGCGAAGCAGATTGGAAAAATGTAGCCACTTTAATATTCTGGCTAACTGAAGAAATACAGCTGGTTCTGTGTTAGAAAATGAGGACAGATCAGGCATTATTTGCTCACTCACAAGCATGTGTCTCACATCGATGGACAGTGACGACAGTAAATGCTCGACTGTCTCAGTTTCCTCCTCAACTTATCAGAGCCTACCGTCGTCACTTAGATGTCATGACCCTCATGCTACACTGACCTGTGATGATACCCATTACAAGTTTTAGGTCAGATTTCGCCGTGAGTGAATTCCAGATGAGCGACATTGTTCTCTTCTCGGATATTATACGCCAAATTCCCTTAGGGACATTACATTCCCTTTCATCTAGCCATTTTTGTTATATCTCTAGGAAAGATTGTCTAACCGAGTTCTCGGCTTCAATGTTTTGCCAATTCATCGGCTGTCTTATAATCTGGAATATTCCAGTGGCCTGGAACTAAGCAAAAATTGACGTTTGATATAAATGATTCCTGTCCTCAAAGCAGAGTGAAAATATGCCTATCCTTTCTGGTAGTTTTCCTATTTTGCCTCAAGCGGAAAGTATAAATTGCAAAACCAAACAAACAAACTACTAACTCTATGTCAAACGTTGACGCGCAAAAAGTTAAAATGTTTAGCTTTGTTTTGTAGAGCAGTGTCGATAACGTGTTGCTGTATTATCGATAACACCCATCGGAACACAATAAAATGCTTTATTCTGCTTTTCTCGTAAATAACCTATTCTGTCATGACATACAACTGGAAAAACAAAATATTTTTTTCTTAAAGACAATTGAATGCTTTAATGTGCGCATATACGCTAATATTTTTTACCTATTGTCGGCTGTAAGAAATACAATTCTCCAGCAAAACAAAATAATTTTGTTTTTCAGCCCCCAAAGATGTCTCCAGGCATTTAAAAACGGTGCTGTGTAGTGGTGCTTCTGGTCAAGTGCCGTCTTTTTCAATTCTTTCATTGTCCTTTTATGTTTTCCTATCTCACCGCATCTCTAGATAATGACGGTTATCGATAAGATCTGAATGTCGTTTTTTTCTGTCACGAACTTGTGGCTACTTTTATTTTCAATGTGATTAAAATGCCTCATTCATTGTTTGTTCAGACATTAAATAAAAATAAGTAGAACATTATTAGTGGTTGTGGAAGTCGTTAAGAATGTCAAGTTTGGTAAAACTTCTGGTAAAAGAATAAAGAACGGCGGGAGTAATTCTTTACATAGAAAGTGTTTGCCATTAATTCGTCTTCTATCATAATTAGTATTTATTTTCATAACCCGGATTTATTAAATCAGATGTAGGCCTTCTTATGACCCATATCCTAATATTCAGACTTTAGCTACACTAATTTGGCTATTTTTTAAAGCACCAGCTGAAAGGCTTTCCTTCTAAAGGTGTATGTAAATTGTCGAAGGGCGAACTGTAAAAATTGCTCCGGGAGAGCCACATTCCTAATGGACTTTTTTTTTATCTCCGTTATCAAACCAATAGGGAAAACCTTTATTGTGTTCTCTATCAAGAATGAATCATATTCTTTTTACTATTATTAAATGCACATTAAAATCCGATTTAAATAAACAAAGTACGTAAGTGTCCACTTGAGGTGTCAATCACATGTTTGACAAGTCATTTTTGATGTTCCTTGTTATCGGAAATTAAACCCGATGTTATCTAATGTACTGTTTATACCCAATACATTTTTCATAATGCATGTCAGGGATGGATAATAGAGAACAAGTAGATACTTTTGATTAGGAAAATCTTTAGTGCGAATCAAAGCCCGAAATTGGTTTGGTGCCACTTTTTAATTGCGCCGCTTCTGTGTCATTAATAGGTCTGTCTGGTAATTCCCATTCTAAAGAGTGAAAGTACGACAACTGAGATAAATAAACAGACAGCCTCCCTGTAAAAACTGCAAACAATCAGCTGATTTGTGTTCGATTTTTTTAAATAAAAAATGAGACAAAAGCGGAAGAACTTTCTATTTGGCATCTTTTGTACTCCAAAAAAATAGAACAATGGAGGATGTGAAACATAAAGTAATTTGCAAGGTCCCAATGTCTATTAGCAGCTCCGTTCCAATACTTTTTTGTGGTAAAGTAGCACAAGAGCGAATTACCAAAAAATATTACCATATGCTCTCACAGAGAGAAAATTGTTGAAAATTAAGAAAACAAAAAATAATAGTGGCTCTGAAATCCCTCCATAATATGCCATACAATACGCATAGACATCATGCTAATTGCTCTATCTATCTGCATCTTTATCTTTAGGTATGTGCTTTCCAAAACACAAATGTTTTAAAATGGATTGCGCAGGAATAAATCACCGGATAACTAAAACCAGCTGATTGATTGTCACGGGAAAAAGAGGAAGAGTAGTAAGTTATTGTTGAGACGACTTCCAGAAATAATTTGCAAACATTATTACTATTTTTTTTATTTTTTTTTTTTTGGCTAACCAAACAGACTCTCGCATAAATTGTAAGACGCCAAAAAAATAATCAATGTTTGGTCGAATATAGTTTTACGTTGACACCGAAAATTCTACCGGTAGTTGATACTTTTGTTGAACCCGTAACATAAAGCTAAAACGCTTTTTCAGTTTTGGCCTTAGTGTAGACGTGTTAAGGCGGAGCTAAATAAACTGAAATACTCATTACAAGATAATGTAAATATAGTACCGTCTGCATTACCAGTAGGTTAAAAAAGTTATTCATTAATCGATTATACGGACTATAACATCGAAGTTTGTCATTTAACCCTGATAATTGACTAATCACAACATATGTTTTCTATAGCCATATTTATTGCGAATGATCAATTATTAAGGTTAAACCGAAAAGGATTTGTATTTGTAAATATTTGTATGTGAACGTACTTTAAGTTTAATTGAATGCATTCGACGCAGGTTACCACAGAATTGATTTCTTAATGATTATGATAGCTCAACTAAAATCAATCCCATGATCAAAGTATAAGCTCATCTAATAACAAGCGATCTGTCAATTAAATTTGAATTCGCTGCAACCAAAACAAACGTCAAAACACGACAAAACATGATTTTTACTGTTATGCGAAAATATTTGTTTGGCCATTTTAAATTTGTTGTAAAAAGAAAAAAATGCAACACAAATTACTCCTCAAGCATGAATTTTGACATTTTATCTGATACATAACAGCTGTTTTTAGATTAATTTGCTCTAAGAAGACCTTATAATTGGGCCATGGCCAATCCTATCAGGAACAGTAATTTCGATGCTAGTGATCCAAGGTTTAGAAGTCGACAACTGTGGTGGATTGTAAATGCCAGTTCATACTGTACAAGAACTAACAAGAAAGCTAATTTCCTTATCATGAAGGTAAGATATTAACAAGTAAAAAAGCTGTAAGTTCGGCCAGGCCTAACTTTGAATACCCTCCACCAATTGGAACGAATTTGGCAACTTAAAAAAATCCGTTAAAAATTCTCTTAGTCTTAAAAATATCGAATTTAGACGTTATATTAGGGTCTAAACGACGACGTGGACCTGCATAGGCAACATTTGTCAAAAAATCATTACAATATTCAGCCATTGCAATATTCAAAATACCGAATATCGGGAGGTGTCGATATATGGGGGTTACACGAAGGCGTGGACCTGAACAGATAATTTTCTGCCTTAGGCTGCAGTATCCATTACGAACTTTAAATACCAAATTTGAAACAATTCCGGTGAATAATGTCGCTAAAATCATCAAAATACAGAACCATTATATGGGGGCTATACCAAAACGTGGACCTACATGGCCCATTTTCAATAGCAAAAGTCCTGCAGACATAATATGCATTTGAGTAAATGTTTATCAACCTACTACTACTTTGTTTCGTTCGGAAGCTCGAGTGATTTCCAGACAGACATCGATAAATCGACATAGAATTTTATGCTGATCAAGAATATATACTTTGTGGGGTCTAAAATATTTGTTTCGAGGTGTGACAAACTTAATATGGTGAAGGGTATAAGGAATTATATGAATACCTTTGAACTCAAGTTCGAATCGGTCCATTTTATTTCAACTAATTCAATTGCAGCAAAGCGGTATAATTAATCTGTATTTGTTTGGCGGTTATGTGAACATACCGGCAAAGTGTACATGATTAAAAGTGTGTGAATGATCGTACTAAGCGACAATTTACCCGATGAGAAAATAAAAAAATGTTTATTTTTCACATTCAGTTAACCGAACTCGAAGTGACGAGTGATCAGTGTCACGTATACACACCAAGTTTTTGTTCCTCGATGGGGAGTGGCGTTCGTTTTTTTTTTTTTCTTTGGTTATTTCCACTTTTAAATTTTACAAATTTAAATAGAAATGAATTATAAAAATATTCTTAATCAAGTCTTAAAATTTATATCTCCATATTAATAAAAACAAAACATTGAAATAGTTTTTCAACACATGCAAAGATCATTCAAACATTCACATATGCAACATACACATACATACAAATTTACAAACATTTATACATTGACATTAATATATAATGGTGTGGATATGCAAGCTTATTTTTTATAGTATTTATACATATATAAAATTTAATTTAATAATTTTTATTATTTTTGTTTTGTGCTGTGTAATATTTAATTGTAGAGTGTGTGTTTGTGTGGTACTTACCGGCGTACTGGAATTGATAAATTGTCAAAACTGCGTGACATAAGCGATACATCTTGACTAGCCCTACGTGACCTATATTAATTAGTAAAAACAAAAAATGAAAAAATAAAAAGAAAACTCAAGAAAAATAAAACAAAAGTAAAGCATAAAACTAAGTGGAATAATTTTTAAATATTACAAAGAAACCTTTCTTGTTTTTGTGAGAACAATGCCTTAAATACCCTTTTCTAAGAAGAATAATCGAAGGATTTTTGCATACATCATTTTTAAAATAACTTCTGGGGAGAATATCCCAGACAAAAAACAAGGGAACTGATGAGGATTGGTGGCTCTTTCCGAAATCTAGATATTCCCTGCCTTACCCCCTGGTAAACATTACCATCGTTCTCCACTAATAAACAAACGTTGTTCTTATAAAAACAACAATAAAGGGGTTAAGCCTGAACATTTTAAAACAATACTATGGTATCCCGAACAAACAAACCAACACTGTTCAATCCAAAAACATGTAAATATCTTTTCTCTGTTCCAGAACTTAAGAATGTAAAAAATGTTTTCTATGATAACTGATTTACACTTTATGATATCGAAGAAAATTGCAAAACTTGTAGGTTCTGGAATAGAGCACTTGATTATAAGAGATTTAGAAAAGCTTTTTTTCATTAAATGTTTGAATTTAATAAAAATGATTTTAAAACCCGCTTCTCAATGTACCACTTCAATAATAAGTATATTCTATATATATATATAGTATATCCAAATAAGACACATTAAATCTGCCAGAGAAACAACAAATAATGCACGAATTAAAGAACAAAGAACCTACAATTATTGTTTTAATTACCAGTGTTGTGGGTGTTAAAGACGATGTTTTCTTCAAATCGGAAATATTCTATGAAGGGCAATGTGGTGTACGTGACTAAGGTTATCTGATAGCTTTCATACATTTAGAGAAAATATAATTAAGTTTACCTTAAATTGCCTGTCATTCAGCATTCGGATAATGCGGTAGTGTTGTGTAGTTCATAAATGAATTAGTTTAGTTAAACAATTTATTCAAGTTTACTGTGGAGCTCTAAAGGGTCTCGCTCTTGTAAAAAAAAAATAGTGAAAATACCTCAAATCACTTGTATCTATAAGAACAGCATTGTGTCTAATTGTAACATTATTGCCTTGAAAAAAAACTTAAACGCAACAACCTTTTTGACAGCTTCGGCGTTGATATGGACCATGGACAAACAATAGGAACTTCATTTGTCGCAGCTGATCATCTAGATGAGTTATCAAACCCTTATCGTGATTGGAAACACAGCATCTGACGGGATTATCTTACTCATTTTTTGATTTACTTGCAAATATCGCGCATATTAAAATACCAAAATAAGCTGCTATCAGACAATAAGGGTTCTACCATGTTTACAATTGTTTTCAAAATTATTCATTTGACAACATCTCATTGTCCAAAATTTATATTTATAAATCCATTGTATACACAGAAATCAGAGATGGGAACCTGTTTTTTATTCATTGAAATTTGACAAGGAAAACTACTGGAAATGCAGAGCTGGTATTGTTTATTTTTTTAATGACTTTACCTTTTTAATTTTACTATAGGTATATGTCCTGTCAATGTATATTTCAAAATTATAATTTTTACATATGACTCACACTTGCATATGTATTTTATTTCCTTTTTAGTTAAATTATATTTTTCCGATTGTAATAGCGTTCGCTGCAATCGAAAAATATGGAAAATTGGCACTACATAAGCAAAATCCTTATCGTCTGATAGCAGCTTTGGGAATAAATAGTATAAATTAAAGTTGGCAGCACTATTTCTATGGGTAGGACTGATTGCGGCATCAACACAGCTGATGCTACAATGAACTGTTTTTTAAATTAGTTATTATTATTATTATTATTTTTTTTTTTTTTTGAAAAACATCATAAAAACCATTGTATAAGAAAAAAATATAAAATCAATTTATTTTTTTTGTCTGTAAGTCAAGCAATGAGTTAGAGAATCGAATTATAGGTCCTATTTGATGCACAATGAAGCTATCGTTCGCAGTTAAAATAAAGTGGAAAAACCATGTAAAGTGTCAAAACTTTTATATATTCTTTAAAATATTTGTTTACTTTTCATGCTGGGCATGACCATAATAAAATAGTTTCGAAGTCAAAAATTTTTAAATTCTATTCGGGTGCTAAAATTAATTTTAACTTTTTTAGAAAGGGAACAATAAGAATTAAAAACCAAATACTCGCAGCCAACTTCACGTTGTTGAAATTGCTCATGCGACAAACTAAAAAAAAAAAAAATAGAAAACTCGAATATGGTTACTCATATATGACAGAAAAGAGTGAAAATTTAAAGTTAAGAATAAAAATGGACGAGAAAGAAATTGGATTTGTTTAAAAGAAACTTGCCACGTCGTATTACGATTTTGTCCATATTTTCTAATAATGTATTGGACATGGTTATTGAAAAGTTATTGATGTAAAGGTTCTTTTAAACTAGACGATTAAATGCTGGCTGATATAATTTAGCACAATCATGAATATTTGCGAAATTCTATTCCCACGGATAGTATTTTTCTCGACAGATATGTACTTTAAAGATGAATACATAAACAGATAATAATTTGCGAAGATGGCAACGCGAATGGTCTTTTTCGTATCTTGTGTATCCTATTTGTTGTAGAAATTTGTTGCAAATTTTATGTGCTTTTGTTCAATATAAGGAGTTCTGTCGGTTGTTGATAAGTCTGAGGAGCGACATTAAAGGTTGTAAATATGATTCTGAACGGCCAACATCACCAATGTTTCTTGGTCGCTTTTTTAAATTAATTATTGAAATAAAATGCAAAAATAATTAAAAACGCTAATTAAAATTTGGTATAAAATATTGTTTTTTTTTTTAATCAGAAATCCCTATTTATGTTCTTCTTTGAAATTGTTCGATAAAATTATTCGGAAGTGTCTGAGTTTTTAAGTACTTTAATCAATAAGTTATATGTTTTTTTAATAAATATCCTCCTTAAAATTGGGAATGAAATTGCTGTTATTCGCGATTTGGCCGATTATAAACTATAGTAATAAAGATTGTAGAATCAAATTAGGTAAAGATTTCTGTTACTTTTGAGTATTATTTTCTTACCAAAATTGTTGTGTTGTTGTTACAAAATTATTCATTTTTTTATTCACAATTGTTTTCTATTAGCCAAGTGTAGATAAACAGTACACAGTTGTCATATGTATAAGTGTATGTTTTGCAGATTGTCTAAGTTTCGAAGGTTAAATGAGATTGATTTATTAGCACTTTGTTAGAAGTATCACTTAAAGAAGTTCTTGCGAGGAGTGTTTAATTGTCTTCTTTATGACATTTTAACGGTGACACTTCACTTGTTATTTATTATCTATAAAAGCAATATAATATTGTTTGAATTAATAAATCATGGAAATATTCCAAAAATTGCCTAATGCCCATATAGTGTGTGTTGTGTTCATTAGCCTCATATCAAATTTAATATCAGACAAATATATCATTGCAGTTTTCGATCTTGAAATTAAACCCAATCTTTTGTACCTTGCTTTTTCCTACTGTTTATTGTTTTTATAAAAATATAAACAAAATGGAAACCCAAACGTTTTATTTAATGTGTGTCGCTGTCACGGGTTCTGCAGCAATTGTATACATTGATACATACATATGTACGTAGAACATTGCTCATCATGGTTTGTCTGTTCAATGAATGTTTTAATTATCATTTCGATCACGTGAATTGCAAACACAGAACTTGTGGAAACCAGCCATAGCCTCAAGACTTCTTCTGTTTGATAGAACAAAAGAATACTACTACTACTACCCACTAAAAGTCAACAACAAGAAAAAGACAGGGCCAAGTTTGTTGACAGATAAATATGAAGGGAGCTGGGTAGATAAAATTCATATCATCCATTGAATGTACGTATGTACGTATGCAGATATGAATTTTCCCTGGAAGTATCTATCTACCTATTTATAGTTTATAAAGTCGAAACATTCGGGAATATTCTTGGAGGGCTACGTGATTAAAATGCTAATATTTAAAAACCCAAATAGTTAAAAGAAAATTAATAATATAATAAAAAAATATATACTAATCAATAAAACATTACGGAATGCATTAAGATAATATTTTTAGAATACGTCTCATGAAATCATCAGTTCAATCGTTAATATTTGACAAATGACTAAAGTGTGGAGGCACAAATACCATCGATGATTAATTGCTATAACATTTGACAGCAGCAGCAGTAGCAGAAAAAAAAGAAGCCAAGGTGTTAATTGAAGTTAATTAAATAGCAACTTTTTAGCATTAAATAGCAACTTTAACATTTAGCACAACTTGTTTCTGTACTAAACAATATGTGATGTGAATACATACATATATTACAAATTAAATGTCTGTCGAGAGCGATTTTAAACATTTTGCAATGTCACTGTCCCAATAAAGTAGGTTAAAATTAAAGCAGGTCACACGATTCTGAATGAAATATCCTCATTCAGTCAAATTTTTTTGTTTACGTTATCATACGATTAGGATGCATTTAGACAATTAGCAGCTGATCTTACTGGATGACCTATTGTGAATTTACAATGCATCTATTGCACAACATTAGGTGTGTCTGGTTACCCTGAAATTGTTAACAATTGTTACAATTGGTTGCTGCAAGTCGTCTGTTAACAGAAAAGTTCTGCAAAAGAGAGAGATTCGAGAGAAAGTGTTTAACAGTTCTTTTAATGAAAGTTTGCAAATCTTGGTGGACAAATATCTTTTTACGAACTCTCGTTTTGACAAATCAGCTGATTGCTTGCAAGTTTATGCAGGGAATCCGTCTGTTTACTTTCCAGAGCTTTGTTGCAAAGGAGAATGGAACTACCTTACTCCCTCGGGAAAAGTAACCGGACAAGCCTATGTATGGATTTATTTGGATAATAGCGAGAAGCTTCTTAAGGTGAGAATACATAAATGGCTTGAGGTCTTCGCACGGCATATTTTGTGACATATCATAATGAGATGTCAGAG